TGGCGAAAGAAGTGACGCAGAACGGCTTGGCGCGTGGCTGAACTCACCTGTGCCAGCACCCGTGAAAGATGAGCGTACTCAGAAGCATCACGCCCCGACTTCCATTCAAAGAGAGTGGTAGGGGGAATTGGAGATGGGATGTGGGACTTGCCCTGTGCGCTAATTTGCGGAGCTCTCTGACCAGCTTGGCAGCTACAAGTCATAGTTTTGTCCTTTGTAATGAGTCTGAAAGCTTGAAAGCCACCAGCTCGGGATGCCATGCTCAACAACTTGACGGCCACTGCAGGGTATTAGCCGTGATTGCGGATAACACTTGTTTATTCACGCGTGGGAACTATTCTGTTCACTTAATTGACCCCATTGTTCACATTCTTGAAATCTCTTGTCCTTTCATTTCTCCCGAAGCTATCTAATAAGCTGGCTAATTCAATCCACTCGTCGCTGAATGATGAAAGCCTTGAAGCGATTATTTAGCCTATTATTTCAGAGTGTTATAAATGCAGTTTTTACTTTGCTATTCTAATGACTGAACTTGTACGAAAGCGTTCTATACATATACGTGATGCAAGGATAGCAGGACTCTATGATTTGGAACATACCATTGGTCAAGGACATTTTGCAGTAGTTAAACTAGCACGTCATGTGTTCACAGGGGAACGGGTGAGTTATTTGTTCATTTTAAAGTGCTGTTTCAAACTTGCAAGGGTTATTCTGTTCAGGTTGCTGTTAAAATTATTGATAAGTCGAATCTAGATAGTGTTTCAATGGGACATGTTATGCAGGAGGTATCGGGAAATTTTAATTTCACTTTTTTTAGCAGTTACTGTTTGCTACCCATATTTTCCGAGAATGTTGAACTACATTTATTTCGTACTTTATAATTGGAGTACTTCTCAGCAGAGCAAATGAGAAATATTGAGGGAGGGGACGAAAGCTATGAAGTAGCTCAGCTTCTGTTTTGCACGTACCCTTAGACGGAAGTCGAGGGAAGGCATATTCTTCCCGGGCGCTGTTTGTCGACGGGGGGGCATTTTGTATTATCATTGCTTCCCTAGTTCCGGTTTACAAATCTCACTCTGGTAAAACTTGTGAACTCTTGTGAAGCTGAACTATCGTCTAGCCACTATCCTAAAACGTGTCAACTCGAGAAC